TCCTTTTTTTTAAGTCGATTGAAATCATCGTGATATTCAATAATAAATAAATATTGCAATTAACATAGCGACATCTCTGTCAGTCTTCTGGTAGCTGAGTGAAGAAACTTTTATAAGTTCTCACAGGTGGTGCTAAGGCAAAACTTTTAAAACCCAATACAGAGATTCTCAACAAGCATATAAATAAATTCGTAAGATCTGCTGAGTCGATCCGTAACTCATTGGGTAAGAGCGGTAGCCACGTCGATGCATCGGACACTGGTATATCCAGTCGGATCAAAGGACGTTTTCTTTGAGTTTGGCTGATCTTTGTGTCAAAAATAATAAAACTAGTGGAGTATTTTCACAAAAATATATGAATGTCGTGGTACTAAAAACATCATGTTATTCAATAAAAATAAATGTTGATTTAGATTTAGTTGACTCAATAATTTGCTAGCATTGTAATTAAACCTAATTTCACAAATTTAACTCGATCGCTCACGGCGTAGTATTAGCAGTCAATTCCACAGTCCAAGAACGGCCTAATCCCGGGATATTCCGCAATCGGTCTGTCACCGCCGCAAGCTGTTCAATCAATATCCCGGAGTGTCCGCGGTTCCCGGGTCCGGGTTACTGCGGCGTCCTTAACTGGGTACAGGATTAGCGAGACAAGGGGCTTAAGTAATTTGGTACAAATGGGACAACAATTTAATGACCAATACTGGAAGACGAATGCTTTCTTTCACTTCTTGTGGCGATTATTCTGGTTTCATTACACTTACATTTTTCTTTATCGAACTTATAGTATTTACTCAACGTTAGAAATCTTTTTAACTACTATTTATTATTTTTCTATTAAAGCATTATAGAAATTATAGGATTTCTTTCATGTCTTTAGGTGTTCTTTTCGTTTCATTACACTTAATATTTTCGCCATCGAAATTGTGGTATCTACTATTATTTTTCTGCTGAAACATCATACAATTCATAGGGTTTCTTTAATTTCTTTTGGTGATTCTTCTTTTATCATTACAATTACTTTAATGAACGAGTACCCGTAACTTTAAGTTAGGCACTTCATTTAGCATTAGATCAGATTTATGTAATATTAAAAATTATTTGTGATTTGATAAAGTTTATTACTCGCTATATAACTTTGTAGTTGTTCATTATAAAATCAAATTGAAAAATTTAAAGTTCGCAAATAAATAAATAAGTAAAAAAACTAGCTTTCAAACAAATTTTACGACTCAAGACTTAAGGCTTCTTAAAAATCCATAAGGAATTCTCCACGAAATCTCTAAATGTAGCAAGGAAATCAAAGGGTAAATTGGATGCCTCAAGCAGTTTCCCTGTCTTAATAAACAATCAGTGGACGGAGAATCTGTAATCCGCAGACTGTGACTGACTCGAAGTGGATTGTGATCAAGCCTGCTTTATCTCATTCACTGCACGTTAATAACTGCTTATTTTCTTTACATTATTTGTAAGCGTTTAGTTGGTTCTTTCGCTACGAATCCAGTGCCTATTTAATTAGATTTGCTTCAAAGGAAGTACTACGGAACAAAGATTTTGGACAACAAATTTCACCACATTTTTGTATATACTAATAAAGTGACATAACATAAAATGTATGTATCGAGTTTTTAGGTTATATCGAGTTCTGTCAACCGTGACTGTGTGATCTGTAAAGAGTCCGAAATGTTGGTTTATTTGAAAATACAAATATACTCGATTTGGATCCAAAAACAACTTGCATTTCCAATATGTAACGTTTTGTAATGGCCCTTCAGTTGTTAGTATTCTTGGTATCTGACATACTTTTTGCTTTCTTCATCAGTCTTTTCACGTACACAACAACTGTTTCGGATACTTTTGAATTGGCCTTTATTCAAGACGTTCTTAATGCGGTATGTCATGTTTGTGTGAACAGATTGTAAATATAAATAAATAAATTTTAGACAACGTAACATACGTTGCTCAGATCCCAAAGTAATAACTAAAGCGTTACGGAAATCTGAAACAACGACGGTGTCGCAAACACCCAGACTCGAGGCCCGGGCGGGGATAGAAACCAGGACCTCAGAGATGGCGACACCACGAAAACCGCTGTGCAAGCCATTCGGCCAAGGAGGTCGTCACAATCATGCTTTACTCCTTTTACGTAACCGAATTTCGTCGACTATAGTTCTTTTTAGTTGATAGTCTCGGGCACCTCGTGTACCGGCAATTTCATGAGTAGATGATAATAAATTTTCAGAGTGTTCATTAGCTTAACCACTCGGGTATAAATTACTTACATTGCAGATGTATTTCATATATTTTATTCATTAATTTCTATACTAGCAACAACAAACCCCTAATGGGCCTGTAGGTATTGTATAGGTAGCATTACATTGGCACATAATGGCGATGTATTAATTTCCCGCGGATCGGGTTTAATCAACAAATTTAATTACAAATTAACTGTTTTGCAGACTTTCCCCTCCCCCCGCACCTACTAACCGCCCGCCGCCGCCCGGATGGATTATACTAGGGCTATCACATAGTTTACACTCAGTATGTGATAATTATATTTGTATTTTTTTTTAATGAAAAGACTTAAATGGTAGATAAACACTACAAGAACGTTTACTGAGCTAAAAATAATTACAAAGTGTTTCCAAAAATGCAGATTGGCCTTAATAAATTTACTGACTGAAGCAGAATAAAAGAAAGATGAGACTTCGATATTTGAAAGACAGCGCTCACTGAAAATGCGAGTATTCGAAGCGCTAACATCAATTCGAGGACGAACATCAATTCTCTATGCTATCAATTGCTCGCTTCGGAAATATTGGATCTCACAGGGCTGATATTTTTACAAAAATAAAGTTTCGTAAAACAACACTGCCGGTGCGTGCCTTCTAAAAAAAATGCTCGAGCTGTATACAAATGAACGCTTGCCTTGCGAAAGAATATACTTGCGAAGTGAACGCTCACACTGAAAATGCTCGCCAACCAAACTTCACGCAACGAATGCTTCAAGCGAATCATTCTTAACAATAAATTCGTGATAACCCTATTTCCCTGTACGGACGCGCGCCAGGCTTCGGCGTCTACGTCCCAAATTCGAAAATTTAATTTAGTTGCGTTTTGTCCGCGCTAATTGGTTTGTTTCCGAGCTTAGTTACCACTCACCCATCCCCGCTTCTCCACACCACCGCGGCCCACCCCCTATTTGCGTCCGTAGTTTACTGGATACATTTGCTTTCTATTTTCTAAACGAGGTTTTCTGTTCGCCTAGTGTTAAATTTCTTAACATCATCATTAATCCATAATACATCCCAGTACTGGACACGGGTCTGCTCTCGCCTTAGAATAAGTGTTTAGCCCATAGTCCGTCTAACTGGGCCAATGTGGATTGGCGACTTCATACGTTTTCCAAAGATAACTTCCTTGCAAGGTATTACCACTATAATATAATCACAAAAAAAATGAAGCAGTAAAGCGTAGCTCCTACCTAATCGCAGTGGCAGAGCCCCTCAGACTTTATGATTTAAACCCCTGAGTGGCACTGCAGCTATTATGGACAGACGTGTCGCTTACTTGTTCGTTTCGTAACGAAAGTTCTAAGTTCCTTCTATTATTAGTTAGCTCTAAGCAGTCTAATTTGATAATAATTACAAATACAAATACAAATATCCTTTATTGCCACAATGACACTTTTTGACATAAATAACATGTTAAGCCAAAACATAAACAACCAATGAACGGTACGCTAAACATGTCAGAGGTCAAAAGGAGGTGTCTCAGCTTGTGTGCCTGAATCCGTTGTTTATTTATTTATTTATTTATTTATTTATTTATAGACAAAATGTGTAACATAACAGTTTGCACCATGGCGTTACGACAATTTAGTTAATAAATAACATTTTAAAAAGAAAAAAAAACAAATACACAAAACAACAAGAAATAGAACAATAAAATAAACTTAAAATTATCTATTTACTAATTCATTCATACATCTCTCCAAAACTCTCTTCCATTCCGTCATCAGTCTCTCTATCCCAGTCACAAACACATCACACTGCGGCGATGCTGCGAGCATGGAGTTGAGGAGTGCAGTCGTACGTGGAATAGGCAAGTGTCGGTGCAGTTCAGTGCGAGAGGGCTCGATTGCCAGGAGGGGCACACCACTTCGCCTGTTGCAGTAATCGTCAGGGACACTGAACCTAAGGATCTTTTCCACTAGGCTCACACTGTCAATATTATTTCTTAATACATTTATAGTGAATCTAAGTGATGCGACATTCCTACGCAATTCCAAGGACTCATAGCCCAAGTGACCCTGTAGAAAGCGCAGCGTTGTCGCAGACAGCGCTGTTCTTCAGCCACCTCCTTGTCCCTTAGGCGGGCTTAAAAGCAACGAGGGCCAAAAAAACAATTATAAAATTTTGAAAACCGTTATTCTATATTATTTAATAATTCAATGTTATTATACATATAATAGGTGAAAATAAAGTAATTTGAACGAAAAAAAAACAACATCAATAGGTTACTCTAACCAATACTATATGTGTGTGTGTGTGTGTGTGTAAGTGTGTGTGTGTGTAAGTGTGTGTGTGTGAGTGTGTGTGTGTGTGTGTGTGTGTGTGTGTGTGTGTGTGTGTGAGTGTGTGTGTGTGTGTGTGTGTTGGTGTGTTTGCGTGCGTGCGTGCGTGTGTGTGTGTGTGTGTGTGTGTGTGTGTGTGTGTGTGTGTGTGTGGTGTGTGTGTGTATGTGTTGCTTTTTTTATTAAGGCTGATTTAAATAAGGATTTTAACCGGTTCGCACCAATTACTTTTAGTTGGTTTTAGTAAATCAGTTGTCATGGAAATGAATGTAGTGTTTATCTATTTAACTAACCCTTTATATTTACAAGGGTAACATTTAATTTTTGCAGAAAATTTTGACTTATATATATATATATTTTTCATGTAAGGCTCGTTGCACCTGATTAAACGAATTATTGTTATTAAGCGCGTAATTGCTCGCAGGTCTGGTTTCAAAATCGGCGGGCGAAATGGCGCAAGACAGAAAAGTGCTGGGGACGGTCAACCATTATGGCCGAGTATGGGTTGTATGGCGCCATGGTTCGCCATTCGCTACCGTTGCCGGAGACCATCCTGAACAGCGCAAAAGAGAACGACACCGTCGCGCCCTGGCTACTCGGTGAGTCCGGTTAGACCGCTTTCTAATCTACAATCAGCTCTTGGTGAAATTGGACGGTGTATTTTCCACTTATAACTTACCAACTGCCGCTGGCTGGAATAAATGAGTCTGACGAACAATCAACACAGAAGAGGCCTATGTTCTAAGTGACAATGACGAAGTTAAAATTTCATCTCGAATTGCCAAGGTTGGTAAATCCGTTGTTTTTATTTCAAAGTCTGATCTAGAAGTAGCTGAGCTCTGCAATGTACAGCAAAAATTCATACAATCAAGTCTAAATAACATGTAGACACGTAGCGAAATTCAAATTGATTTTTTTATAAAGTGTTATGAAAACAAGAAATATTTTGCTAGGCTTCGTACCCTTGGCATAATAAAGCCACATAGTGGAAATTTTATCAAAATTAAATTAAGAGACATTTTATAGTAATGGAAAATGTTCCTTACCACATTTCAATTACATCAGCAAAATTATTACCCTTATATTGACAGTGGAAATTTGAAATGTCCTAAGAGATATTTTCTCACAAGGGCCACTTTCCCTTACGACGTTTCAAATTTTCACTGTCGACATGTCAAAAGTGCTTATATCACATGTTATCTCAAAAAATAATATGAACTACATGAATTTTAAATTATGTGTATAAAATTGGGTCCCCGAGGCAAGGTGTCCAAGATGCTGGCAGCGTTCCCCCTTTGTATTGCTATGCTAATGCGTTGGGCAAAGTAGCTGCCGGACGTTGGGTTTCCCAGACAGTCTATTAATTTTTTCGATAAAATTTTGTACAAATGAAGGGCACTGTTTCAATTCCAAAGGCTGTAAATAGGTAGTCCGACCCGAGATCTTGGTACCTATTACTTTTTATTCTTTCCGCCAGCTCAGCTGCGGAGCCAGCCCTAATTGTCTTTTCTACCTTACCTGTTGTTAAAGTCACTATTTGTATGTTTTAAACATGAAAACTACATGAAACAAATTATGTCACGTGAAATTTATACATCATTCTCTCTCTCCTATCTAAACATATAATGTTATCGACTAATTCCGTTCTCTGTCCTAATTAGTCGTAATTTTGAAGATGTGGACCTCTCACGTCAAGGGTGCGAACTAAAATTCATGTTAATAAATGTTTAACTGATAAAGATAAAGCAATTTGAATAAACGTTTCTTGGAGATTATTACATTGTGATTTAACTTCGTATAAATGGTCATGTGATTGTAATGAACATGGACTGCAAACAAGATATCGGTGCTGGTAAGTAATTTATACGTATCGTGAGTTGTACCTTTATGTTTTATGCTTTTGATGTTGTTACCACGAAGTACAGTAAAGCAAAATCTGCTCCGAAAATCAAACGAAAATGCGATAAACAAGAGTTTAGGTTAGGAATGTAGGCCATAAAAACAATACCTATCCTTTATTTCACCATCGACCCATTTATACATCCCAGTGCTGGGGACGAGTCCCCTCTTAGGGCTTAGGCCATAGTCCGCCACGCTGGCTCAATGCGGGTTGGGGGTTCACAGGTTTTGTAGGTTTGTGAACCTTCTTCGACGTGCAGGTTTCATCACGATGTTTTCCTGCGCCGAAAAGCTCATTATAAATTTCAAATCAAATTTCGCACATAAATTCCGAAAAACTCAAAGGTGCGAGCCCGGATTCGAATCCGCGGCCTCTGCGTGAGAGGCGGTAGGTAAAAAAAAAACCATTAGCCCATTAGGAAATGTGGCAATTTCTATTTCCAATACATAAAGACAATTATATAACCAAATTATTATATAATGAAATACCAGTGTAATTACTAATTCAGAAAAATACTCTAAGTCGAGTGTCCTCTTGAAATAAGGGGGGTTAATGCCTCTGGCAATGAATATATAAATGAAAGAAAGCAAAAGCGATATGTGACTGTCTAATTTTGTTCAAGAGTCGGGCGCGGTGCGGGGCGCGGGCGGGCCGTAGCGGCTGCTCCACCCGGCGCCTGGTGAGTCACCAAACCACCCCATTACAACACAATTAAATACCACACACACACTGTGATTTAAAGTCGCAAAAGCTTCTATGAAGCTGGGTAGATAATTAGCCTCAACTAGAACAAAATCAGACAGTCCGCATGTTGTGATTTTTTAAATACAACTTCTCGTGCGATCATGTAAACTTAGAGCTAATGAAGAAACATTGTTTGTTAATAGAATAACAGCGATGCGTGCTAGCAAAATGCTTTAATCACATTTTGGTTTATAAATATACATGTGTTGTGTAATATTTGTTCAAATGCCCACTTATAAGTTATAAAACAATACATTTTGGAAATATGCCCCTTTGTACGAATCACAGTTTTTCAATTCAAATTGCACATGTAAGTACATTAAAGAGGTCTTATAATAAAATTTCCTTAATTTCCTTAATCCTCCTTAAGGACACTAAGGTAGTAGGTATAGCAAAGACTTAAAAAACTGTTATTAAATGATTATACTTTATAGTTAATTATTAAATGAGATCGATGAGACCTTTCCGTGAGTTATATTACTTTTTTTTCAGTTAAAAATTCATTTATGGAATAGTATGATTTTTGGATGAGAAATTGTTTTAATTTATTTTTGAATATGTTAATGTAAGGAACGAGGACCGTCTTGTCCTTTCTGTAATAAAAAGAACTGTGTATTAATTTGCGGTAACACTTTATTATACCAGTTACGCAATAGTACATACAATAAATGTTGCTAATTTCTGATTTCTTATTGTGAAAATTACATCAAACTACATTGAAATAATTCTTGACACTACTACAGATTTAAAGTTACGAATATAAATATTTCTCCGTTAATAAATTAGTAAGTATATCGAGTTTCGTCACAGATTTTTACGTGGCAAAATACCACATTTACCTACTACACAAAAATTAGATTAAGTGGCCAGAGAGAAACCCCACGACCAACACAAAAAGCTTTTAACAAAAGCCAAAAACATTCGTCTATTTCGTCCATCGATCGACAAACACAACTAACAAATAAACCTTTCAGCTGCAGCTGTCAACAAAGAAACAAACGGCAAAACAAAGCTGTGTAATTTTTAATCTGCGCCACAGAGATGCTCATTTTTCACTACTACCCTAACTCCGCTGTATTCTGCCCTCAGTTTAAACTAAAATACACTTTATGTAGTCGAAATAAGAACTGAGGAGATAGCACTTGTGGGTTTGTTACTTTTGTCTCACAACCGGAATATATCTGACTCCTATTTTGGTGACAATAGACTTTAGGTACTTGGTATACAGGCGCTGGAGGATGTTTTTCCTAAATGGTACGCTGAGAAGACGCTGACAGCTTATGAGAAGCCGGTTTGTTTGCGGAGATGTTTCGTTTAGAATTTTCGACGAATGTTTTGAAAGCATTCTTAGGGTTGTGCATCACACATGAAATAATATAATAGTACATTTTAAGTGCATTTCGCGTTACGTTATTTCAAATTAGCAACTGCGTAGCACTTTCGAGTTGGCACACATGTAATTGATTACTTGCCTACGCTTGTAGACAATTTCGTAGTACATCGTAGCAGTCAGTTATATAATGTACTTGTTATACAAACTATTAACTACGTAAATCTCTTTTAAGGAATACTTTTCCTTTGTGTATGAGCACTCAGTTTTATGTATTTTAACTGTGTTTGTTAGCGAGTCAAAGTATACATAATTTAAAGTTGATTGTTTGTGGTTATTTTACATACATAGATAATTCCTATCTCTGCCACCAAACAGTAATGTGAGCGTTACTACGTTCCGGTTTCAAAGAGTAAAGATGCAGGTGAATTTACAGGCACATGAGACTTATCAACTTATGTCTCAGGGTGACGGGCGCAGTGGCAGTGGGACTCAGATTTTTGTATTTTAAATCTCTGAGTGGCAACAGTTTGGGCATGCGTGTCGCTTACTTATTAATTCATACCGTCACTTGGTATTGTAGAAAAAACATGTATACATTTATTATTTGTAAGTACTTAATTTAATTTCTTATTTATTTACTGTATATATATATATATTTGACGTATATATATACGTCAAATAATAGTCAATTTATACAGTAGTAGACGTTCTAAAGGATAAAGGTACGTAAAATATTTGCTTTGTGGAACGTGATATATAAAACTATTTTTTTTATTTTAGTAAATAGTAGCCGTACATTATGTAACCAACACCAAAATTAACCTTAAAGAAAAACAAATCAAACATAAAGGTACCTAACCTCAACCATACACCTATTTATCCATTCAAAGAACTTTTACGCCATCAAAAAGCCAGGTCTCAAATGAATACAACCTAGGGTTAGGGCGGGGCCTCACCCCCTCCCGTGATCACCCACCGGGGGTGTTCAAGATGGCGGCGCATTGTCTAAGCGGTGATTACGGCTCGGTTAATTATGTACTTAGTCCGTACCTGTGCTTATGTGTTTGTGTTTAGTGGCGCGGTCTATTGTTAGGTTAATGGGAGGTTAGGAGGAAATTTAAATCAATAGAAGGAGTTCAATATAAATCAATACATATTTGCATTCGATTTATAAAAAGTTTTTTCTTTTTTTTTTGTAAGCACTACTTTAAAATTTTCAGATTTAGAACTTTGAAGTAATTTATATTCATTTTTTATTATTGTAAGATACAAATTCTGGTACTAGATTTTAAATACAACACAAGATGAATTTTAACTTTACTCATACTTGTATATAAGAACCAAAATGTGCATATAAAAAAAATTAAGTAAACATAATTGTTTAAAACCATTTATAGAAACCAAATTATTTTTCTCATATTCTACCAAAAAACATTACAAGCTTGCACAAAGTATATACACAAGCATTACGCATTTTAGTAACTAAAAGTCAATAATGAAAACAAACTAATAAATTAACATAACTGTGTGATTAATTAGTTTGAACTTTATGAAGTTTTATTAAAATTATAATTAATGTAAATCGAATAAGGACTTGCAATATATTGATGAGTTACGTAGCA